CCTTCTGGCCGCCATGTCTTATGACCGTTACATTGCCATCTGCAAACCTCTGCATTACACGACCATCATGAATCACAGAGTCTGCATACTCCTTGTCTTTGCTTCATGGCTGGCTTCATTCTTAATCATATTCCCGTCACTTATGCTGTTCATACAACTTGATTACTGTAAGTCCAATGTTATAGACCATTTTACCTGTGATTATTTCCCCTTACTACACCTTTCTTGTTCAGACACAAAATTCCTAGAGATTGTGGGTTTTTCCTGCGCTGTGTTTACTCTACTGTTCACTTTGGCGTTAATAGTTCTGTCCTATATATATATCATCAGAACAATTTTGAGGATTCCTTCTGCTAGTCAGAGGACAAAGGCCTTTTCCACCTGTTCTTCCCACATGATCGTCATCTCCATCTCCTATGGCAGCTGCATTTTCATGTATATTAATCCATCAGCAAAAGACAGAGTGTCTCTGAGCAAGGGAGTTGCTGTGCTAAACACCTCAGTGGCCCCCATGCTGAACCCCTTTATTTACAGCCTAAGGAATCAACAAGTCAAGCGAGCCTTCATGGACAGGGCAAAAAAGATTGTATCTTTCTCAAAAAAAATGAAGAAATAAAAGTGTTATTATAATTAAAGGCACATGATGAGCAATTAAACAAAAGTAGGGCCCTTCCAAAGTTTATTAATATCTACACAGCCTCACTGGAGTTATTTTTTCTTAATTAAACTTTTATTACCAGCAGTTTACTGAGGAGACATATATATATATATATATATACATGTTTTTTCTATTTAAATTCCAATCCACCTTTCATGCATTTCCCTTCCTTTGAGCAGTCTTCCCACTCTGTAACCATGAGACTGGCCTCAGTTCTTATAAATATTTTTAAATACCAATTCTTTCAAAATCATACTAAGAAAATCAAAGAAATGCAGAGAGAGACCCAAGATCAATGAGTTAAAATTGTTTTAGGATTTTACCAGGAAACACTCTTTCAAAGAATTCAGAAACTATTGTCATGTTTAACATTCTTTTAATTTACTATATAAGTATCATAAATATAACTTAGTCTTATTAGAATGTTATAGAGACTATCCTCTCCATTTTATAGCATGGTTAGTAACTATGCGAAAAAAGTGCAATTAAAAAAATAACAATTAATTTTTTGAGAACTCTAAAAGTATTTCTCAAGTACTGAGTTTAACTTTTCTGTGCCATAATTAATTGAGAACACAATTATAAATATACACTTACTTAGGAAAAACTTGAAGCAGCCCCTATTTTTGGAACTCCATAATTACCATATACACCATATCAGCTCTTTTAAAAGCCTAAAGAAATAAATATTCCTAGATATAGATCGAGTACATATACTGTGTTTCAGTAATGTATTTAAATGCTTGATGTTAAACAGCTCTTTTTGAAAATCAGTTAAGTTATAAGTTTCTCATACCTTTTGTGGCTGTTTTGATATGAAAGCTTACACATACAATTCATTTAAGTGCAAAAGATGCAAAACCTTATTTGTTTCATAATAGACTTTGTTAATAGAAAAATCATTTTAAGGGTGCCTGGGTGGCTCAGTCAGTTGAACATGCAACTCTTGATTTAGGTTGTGGGATTGAGCCCCACATCGGGCTCCGCTCTGAGCGTGGAGCCTGCTTGAGATTCTCTCTCCCTCTCTCTCTCTCTCTCTCTCTCTCTCTCATGCACACACACATGCTCACACCAAAAAAAAAAAAAAAAAAAGTAATTTTAACAAAAATAAGTTACATACCCACTCTCACTGCTTTTATTCATTACTCTACTAGAGGTTCTATCCAGAGCATTAGCACAAGAATACTAAATACATTTAAAACTACTGGAAAAGAAGAAACAAATAAATCTTTCTTTGCAAAGAACATTATTTTCCTCCTATGGCCTTACTGCATTTACACTAAATGTTTCTTAACCCTGACATACTCCCCTCCCAGCTATCTGCATGGGATAGGCCAGACATCCACATTTCCCCTCAATAAGGCCCACCCCAATGACACTACTTGAAATTTAGTGGCTCCCCACTTCCAAGATTTTAAATTTTCTCTTCCTTTACAAAACATTAATTTACAAAAGACCATATAATGTACTAGTCAATTGTGTCCATTGCTTATTGTCTGTCTTATACCCCTCACCCCATGAAAGCAGGGATCTCTGCCCACTTTGTAGACACAGTGATGTGTTCCAGCAGTGCTGTGCTGGGACCTGCCTTTACACTTCCCAACAGCCAACTGTGCTTGTGTCTCCTCAATTCTGCATTCAGAAAGGCCACATCACCTGCCAGGGTGCAAGACTTTACGTCTGAAAAATTGATAAACTCTACCGATGGGCTCCTCACCTCTACTCACTGAGAGGCAGTTGTTAAACATTTACTGGAAGTCACTATTCCTCCTCATTTAGAACATGTGTCTGCCATGTAGTGGGTATTCAATAAATATTTTTTGAATAATGAATAAGTTTAAATAATGTAGAATGGCTCCAGTGTCCTAGCAATCAGAGCCCTGACTAAATATTTTGTCCAACAGAACCACATACTATTTATATAATAATGCACATGACATTTAGCTTTTAAAACAATGTTCAAATAAAATGTGTGTTTCATCGTAACTAGACAACTTTGAATGACAAAGAAATAATTAACTGAATATTTCTAATGCATTTGGTGCTCTTTTTTTCTTTTATTTTACATTAGGACACTTGACAACTACGTAAAAATCTATTTCCTTGATTTTTCATGAAATCAGTTATAACATTTCTAGTTAAGGTTTTCCTAATGAGCTTTCTAATGGTAGCAATGGATTCTCTAATGGATGCAAACCCTTGTTTTTCTCATAGAAAAATTCTTACAACTATTTGGGCTACACTTAATAATATATGAGATCCAACATCATCTGTCAATTGATAAACTTCTGAGAGTATAGATTTAATTTGTAGAAAAATAGTTCAATTAAATGGTGGTGCTCAGTAAGTAGGAGGCCAGTCAGACATCCTGAGAGGTGGGAGGGGACTTACCTATAAAGGATGATAATGTATCACTGAAATTAATTAGTAATATGCACTGGAATTATTTAGTAATATGATGTCAGTTAAGGTTTTCAGAGAAAGTCTTTAATAATTTTTTTCATTTATTTTAGAGATAGAGCATGAGTGGGGGAGAAGGGTAGAAGGAGAGAATCCCAAGCAAGCTCTAGGCTCATCACGGAGCCTGGGCTTAGATCTCTTTACCCTGAGATCATGGATCCAGACGAAATCAAGAGTCTCAACTGACTGATTGTTTTACTGGTTCATAAATATTCTCACAATGAAAAGATGCCATATGCACAAATATAAACAAGGATTTAATGGAAGTAAATAACATAATGAAAGAAAGTAGTCAAAAGGCAATAAAAGCCACATTAGCCGGAGCTTTGGGAAGGGTTTCCCTAAATTCAAAGGGCCAATACAGGGATAAATCTTCTCATGTCTTTAATAGGTTGTCCATTTCAGAAGGCAATCAAGTCACACTAGAAATCCATAGCAGCATTTTCTAACATTTCATTCTGCTAAAGAATTCTTCTCGGGGTTGCCAGAATTCAAAGGATATAAGGACACCAATTCTACTGAGGAAAAGTCCAGAGATTCTGGTAGAAAATGTGAATTCCTTGTATAATCAGAAGGGTGAATTCCAAGTCCAGCTCCCACACACTCATTATCACTCTGTTTAGGTATTTGCCTATTTACCTCATAAATTTGCTTTTATACTTCTTAATCAATGTTTATAAAAATGATTCACCTGTATCTTTAATGATTCTTCTCCTTGGCACTCAGTTTACTTAATGAATTCCCCTGGGCCAACAAAAAGACATAGTTAAATAGGTCCAGTTCCATTTGCATGGTATACATTGAAAGGAACATTCCTTATTTTCTATTTTTCAAAGAAGCATTTGCAGCAAAATATAGCAGTCCCTGAACCTAGGGAAAATACTACTTAGATTTTACAGATGTATAATCAGAATTACAAATTATTGATGTCAAATGTTTACATGAATAGAAAGAAAAATGGTTTAATAAATCAGTGTGTTGTACTCTATGAAAAGAGGCAAATGGGAGAGTACTTTACTAGCCAACCCAGGTGTAACTGAATTAGTACATGGAGCTTGATAAGAGATGAAAAGCCAGAATGAGTTGTACTATAATAAAATGTTTTCAGAAATTCATAGTATCAGTAATGAAGGATATTGTGAGTCACATAAAATTAATCTACCAACAAAGAGAATTATGATCCTTAAGAACTTGGAAAAGCTAAAACAACAAACTTCTTTTGAGAGCACAATAGAAACCAAGTCTTTTGCTAACTCAATTTAGCAGCTCTGAAATTACGTAAATATTTAAGCAAATCAGACGACAAAATTTGAGATTAAATCATCCAGAAGAACCAGAGTAAGTAAATTTTTCATTCAATATATATGTCTTCATTTCATACCAATATCTTCAAAAAATATTATTTGTATATGTTTGGGGATTTATAAACTTTTCAATATTAAAAATTAAATAACTGTTTACTACCAAGAGACTATTAATACAATGTTAAAGGAGGAACACAGAAATAAATCTTGGATTGTCCATTTCTTTCTAACTTGAAATCATATTCTGTTATAAAAGTAGGGTTTTTAAAAAAATTCCCAGGGCACATGGGTGGCTCAGTCAGTTAGGCAGCCCTCTTGGGCTCAGGTCATGATCTCATAGTCCATGATTTGGATAGAGTCCTGCGTCAGACTCTGTGCTCACAGCTCAGAGCCTGGAGCCTGCCTCAGATTCTGTGTCTCCCTCTCTCTCTGCCCCTTCCCTCCCCCTCTGCTTGTACTCTGTCTCTCAAAAATAAACATTAAAAAATGATAATAATTTTTTTTAATTCCCTACTGGAAAGGGTGTGTTATTTTGATTATCTACATGTTTATCTTCCATGACAATATTGTAAAAAAAAAAAAAAAATGTTAGGCATTATATGAATTAAACTATTTCCAGGATATTATTTATTTTAGTAATAGAAGGAATAGAAGGGTACCTTCTTGGCTGTTTGGCCTTTTATCAGACAAGGAAACAAATGATAAGAGAGAGATAACATCAATCAAACCCTTAAGAAAGTAATTTATGAGATGAGGCGCCTGAGTGGCTCAGTCAGTTAAGTCTCCCACTTTGACTCAGGTCATAATCTCACAGCTTCTGCATCCTAGCCCCACGTTGGGCTCTGTGCTGACAGCTCAGAGCCTGGAGCCTGCTTCAGATTCTCTGTCTCCCTCTCTCTCTACCCATCCCCACTTGGCCTTTCTGTCTGTCTCTCTCTCTTAAAAGAAAAAAATTTTATTCAAAAAGTGATTTATGAGAGAATGTGAACAAAACATTCCCATGGATAAACATGTATGTTCTAAGTGAGATGATTACTATAGTGACAAGTTGTTTAATCTTGTGAAAGTTCCCTCAACTATGTAGCTTCAAAATATAAAATGTGAGGGCAGCCTAAATCACTCCTATAAGATTTCAAATCCTATATTTAGATTATCCATAATCCAGACTAGTTTTTATAATATTGAGGTAAAGGAAAAATCATTAGAATATTTTTATGTTTTTATAAAAAAGAGAATAGTTACAAGCTTAATCTTGAAACATTAGAAGAAATAGCTTCTGCTTAAATGTTACCAAAAGACATTTTTTATAATCCATGGCCTGTGATTGTGTACACTCAACAATAAAAGATCAATCTTTAACTTCAGATCATGTTATTACTTGAATGTAAGGTCCAATAGAAATTGGACAGAGTTGCTGAAGGGGAATATGTGTTTTTGGCTTTCATAGATTATTCATCATCATGGATATTTTAAGATTTTATATCCTATCCTCAATCTTCTTTTAACTCTTTTATTTTCTATAGGGGAACATACATTCTCTGTTCAAAAGTGGGGAAAAAGGATCAGCGATGAAAAACCACACAGTACCCAAAGAATTCATTCTTCTAGGGCTATCTGATGACCCAGAGCTCCAGACTGTGATTTTTCTCTTTTTAATTATCACATATACACTAAGTGTCACTGGAAATTTGACCATCATCACTCTCACCTTGGTGGATTCCCATCTACAGACCCCTATGTATTTCTTCCTCAGGAACTTCTCTGTATTAGAAATATCCTTTACAACTGTCTGTATTCCTAGGTTTCTGGGCACAATTGTCACCAGAGACAAAACAATTTCATACAATAATTGCACTGCTCAGTTGTTTTTCCTCATCTTCATGGGTATAACTGAGTTTTATCTTCTCACTGCCATGTCCTATGATCGCTATGTAGCCATCTGTAAACCCCTACATTATGCAACCATCATGAACAAAAGAGTCTGCATTTTACTTGTCTTTCGTGCTTGGCTGGCAGGATTCTTAAATATCTTCCCACCAGTTATTCTTTTTCTCCAGTTAGATTACTGTGGCTCCAATGTCATCGATCACTTTGCTTGTGACTATTTTCCCCTCTTGCAGTTATCTTGCTCAGACACATGGCTCCTAGAAGTGATTGGCTTTTACTCTGCAATAGTCATACTGCTTTTCACTTTGGCATTAATAATTCTATCCTACATGTTCATCATCAGAACAATTCTGAAACTGCCTTCCGCCAGTCAGAGAAAAAAGGCATTTTCTACGTGTTCCTCTCACATGATTGTCATTTCCATCTCTTATGGAAGCTGCATATTCATGTATGCCAACCCTTCCGCAAAACAGAAGGCATCATTGACCAAAGGAGTAGCCATTCTGAATACCTCTGTGGCTCCTATGATGAATCCATTTATATATACCCTGAGGAACCAGCAAGTAAAGCAAGCCTTTAAGGATACTGTCCACAAGGTTATGTTTTTCTCCAGTAATTGAAGGCATTAGTAGCATTACAAGAATGAAGTGCTTGGAAATGTTTTCTGTTATTCACACTTTCTCAAAACTCCCTTTCCTTTACTCGGGTTATGTGTTTCCCCCTTTTTTTCCATCCCCCTATTACAATTTCCCAATCATGGAACTCAATAAATTTGATAATGTGAATACCGTGTCAGAATTTTCTGTACATTCAAAAGTTTTATTCAAATGTATTTGAATGAAGTAATAAAATTGGGTTGATGATTATGATTTTGAATGGGAGTGGTTTGATTTTGAAGAGACATGGGCTTTAGGTTGATGGTAAGTGTGAAGGAGTACATGCAGATTTCTGAACTTTTCTTTCTTATTAATAGAAATGAATGTCATTAGAAAATTTTGATTCTATTTGTCATTTCCATGAAATCAATTAAACATAATCATCAGGGGATTGGGAATAAAATATTTATTTAAAGGTTTTAAAAGATTAGAAACTCATACATATTAAAAATCTTTACTGATAATAATTAAGATGCTAATGAGGAAGCGGAGAAGCAAGAGAGACAGGGGTAGAAGATAACAAAATTTTCCAGCAATTCCTACACTCCAGATCTATTGTTTTCTTTGTATTGAAACATCTAATCCTGACAACAACTTTATGAGGTACTTTTAATTACTATTCTTTACAGGGATGCCTGTGTGGCTCAGCCGGTTAAGCATCCACCTTTGGCTCAGGTCATGATCTTGCAGTTCCTAAGTTCTCCAGTAACTGAAAGCATTAATAGCATTAGAAAATGAAGCCCGGTGTTGGGCTCTGTGCTGACAGCTTGGAGTCTGTGTCTCCCTCTCTGCTTCAGATTCTGTGTCTCCCTCTCTGTCTGCCCCGCCCCCGCTCAACCTCTCTCTCTCTCTCTCTCTAAAAAAATAAACATTAAAAACAATCTTAATTACTATTCTTTTTTAGTCAGAGGTATTTTTCTTTAGGTAGATCACATACCTCCAGAAATTAAAAAATACTTTCCTCATGTAAATATTATATATTTTAAACTATTTTAAACATTTAATCTACCTCTCTAAGACTTTAACAATCCCCTCAATTGGGTATGTTTTCTCCTCCTTTTAAAGAATGAAACATAGAAATTCATGGTAAATAAATAATATATATGGCCAATACACATTAGAGCAAGGATTCAGATCAAAGCTATGCCCCCCCAATTAAGCCATTGTACCAATTCCTGGGGGAAGAGAGATAGTTTACAATATAAACATTACAAGAAAACTTACAATTTAAGAATAGGATGCTATTTTTGTACACAAAAGTACTTACTTTCACAAGAGTACCAAATAAGTCCACCAAAATGCCACACTTGACTTATGGGGATTTGTCTCCAAAATAACATCTCTCAGAAATTAACAATTCAGAAGACAAGCACCTCTTGGAATTAAAGTTAGATCCCTACACCTAAAACCAGAAAATTGCTTTAACCAAAGAAACTCAGACTCCCAAACTTTTCCATTGGTAATCTCAGATATAACATAGAACTGTATGATAATGAATGTAGTATCTCATTGGCAAGGCTCTTGTCCTTTTTGTTTGAGCACTGAGTTATCCCCATCAACAACCACAGACATAATCATAAATTATGTGACTGACGATTTATTATCTCACTCATAGATATTATTTAGTCATTCTCCATCATTCTGAATTGAGTCAGAGTAAACCTTTGTATTCTTAAATATCAGAACTTTGCAGTGTTCATCATGCCTTACATCTCTCTCTGAGGGGAGATCTCCAGTGCTAAAATTCTCATGTTCACATTGCCTTTTTATCGCCATCTATAAAATTGGACGTGTATTGCAATAATTTACAGTCCTATAGAATCACATGAGCCTCCCTGTACAGTATGCTTATCAATATGGTTAGAAGTTTTCACAATATCCTAGAATTTCATTTTTCTTGACTATATTAACAGACTATGAGCATTTCTCTAGCAAAAGGAATATTTGTTCATTATTGCCTACCGAAGGGCTTACTGTAGTGTAGTCATTTACTCAAATATTTGTTATAATTTAACAAATCAACAAATGGATGAAAGTGTCAAAATGCCTACTTCCTATCTAAACTATTGATATCTCCTGCCTTGAAATTCTCATTCTTCTGCTCTGATATCTTATTTGAATAAGCTTCTCTGTCTGGGTTTTCTAGGACTCCTTGTTTTCCAGACCCATAGAAATTGCTATAACCCTTAAAATAATATCATCACCTATTAAATGCCTTCCTCAACAGACAGGACCTATCTTTTCTTTATAGGACTACCTCCTGGGAGCTCCACTGTGGACATATTTAGGGCAAAATCCTATCTTTTATTCATTAAGATACAAGATGGACCCCTATGACTCCCACGGGTATCACATTTTTAACTTGAGATGCTTTCATATAGACAACAGTTGAAATATAACAATGGTACTCAACAACATCATTTACTTAGTATGTATCGGTGGCTTCTTGAGGCAGATTTTTTTTTTAATTTTTTTTTAAACGTTTTATTTATTTTTGAGACAGGGAGAGACAGAGCATGAACAAGGGAGGGGCAGAGAGAGGGAGACACAGAATCTGAAACAGGCTCCAGGCTCTGTGCTGTCAGCACAGAGCCCGATGCCGGGCTGGAACCCACAGACTGCGAGATCATGATCTGGGTCGAAGTCGGCCGCTGAACCGACTGAGCCACCCAGGCGCCCCACACTTTTAAGGTCATCGTAGCAGTTCATCTACTCTATCATTCATTCTATATAGTCCCCACAAATACAATTCCACTTGTGCGACCTTGGAAATATTAGCTAAACTCTCAATGAGTCAGTTTCCTAATATAAAAATTAGGGAGAATAATAGGAATTTCATCATGTGGTAGCTGTAAATATTTACTTAGACAAGGTTTACAAAAGAATTACAAACATGCCTGTTACCTTCCAAGTGTCTAATTATTAAAACTGTTACTGTTATCTTCAATAATGTCAATTTAATTAAATGTCCTATAGCACATGCAATTTTCTCAAAAGTAATTTGGCTTTATGCATCACAACAGTGTCTGCAGGATAAGTGTCCTTCTACAGTGCATTGTGTGGTACTCCCTCATCTGTAAGCTAGAGATTACAATAATGCTTACTTGATTTATTGCTGTAATAATTGAGACTTCTCTGTTGAATATCCCCACTGTGAAACATTTTAATGAACTTACATGTTTTGATGTTCCACATTCTGTCAAATATACCTATGTCTATGCAAGGACTGCAAAAATTACATTATCAATTGTCCTTGAAGCTACGATTCTAAATGTAATTTTAGTTCTGCCAATCAGGAATATTCATAAAAGATACAAATTTTAGACTTTGTTGTAGTTAAGCATCTACACTGCTGATATAGATCATAGCAGATGACCCAAATTTGTAGAAATAGTTCTAGATTACAGAGGAGAAGACCCTGTGAAGACTCAATATTTTGAAACAGTTTTGAGATCATTCCAGGCTAAAATCTGCCTACAGGTCTCTTCAATAATTCCTTAAGCCATATATTACTCTATTGTAAACAGATTCATTTTTAATGAATTACAATAAATTCTGCGGTCTGCAACTAACTGCACTGGATATATAGAGAGCATATCCAGGTAACATACTCTCAAGGCAGTAAGAATCTGGAATCAATTTGTTAATCTGGTTTGGTCTGAAATCAGCAATGATTCTATCAAACAATGAAACACTGGTAGTCCACACTGACACATTAACAAGAACTCACCTAGAAGTAAATGCCTACTAAAAGCAAGGATGAATAAGATTGGTAGGAGGATTGATGCAGGAGCTGGCTGCTTCCAAATTCATCGGACAGCTTAAAGAAAGGAAATGCAATGTTAATGTTTCAAGTGTCTCATAACTGAAGAGATGACATAACTAATATTAAATCCTACAGGTTCCCTTAATTATCAAGTTGATTTAATTCACAGCCTCTGCACATGTCTTATGTGTATGCTAGGGCATTGATTGGGAAAAATCAATCAATTGGGAGCTGATCACTGGAATGAAGGCATCTCTGCGGATTCAGATAACTCTCCATTCCTGCATGTGAAAGTACCACCAAGACTCCCTTGTCAACAGAAGGAACCATCTTCCTCGACTTCATGAAGGTGACCATTGCATCACTTAGAACCTCTATAATTACCTCACGTGAAGGAGTTAGCTTCAAATTTTTTCTATGTGTACATTCACCACTCCTAGACCATTTTCTGGCCTATAATATGTATCAGGATCTAGTATTACCCAGGAGATGGTAAGCAGGTACAAAACCAAAAGGAAAAGGCATATTACATATTGAAAATTTTTACCTGTTTTGGACAGCTTATTTTAAGATAAACTTGGGAACTTATGTTTGGATGGATTTTCATGGCACGTATCCAAGAAAGAAGAGACATAAGATTGCATTGTGCTGAATTTTGAAATGAGTGCATCCATCAGAAATTCTGGGTTTGCTCCGCCACCTTAGATAGATAGGAAAGTTCCACTAGATTCTCATGTGACTACTGAATTCATGGTTCAAAGTTAACCTATAAGAAAAAACTGAAATGCCATAAATTCCTTAATATGGAGTTTACAATCAATAGATTGATGATACAGATAGTTTGGAAAGCACACATCATGCTCAAGCTACTCATTAGCCTCTAAACTCTATTCCCTAAGACACCAAGAGTTGAAACAAATACAATGACCTTTTCCTTTTTTAAAAACAAGGAAAAGAGGAAGAGGGGTTAATGATTAAAGTGGGAGATGTTATTATTAAAGCATCCCTTAAATATCACCACTAATGTCTCCTTTCAGTCTTCAAATGATGAGAGCAAGTTATTACACAATATTGAAGCATGTGTAGAGTGGAATAAAAATGGCCATCCACCAAAGTTTGCTTTGTTTTAGGAGATTCAACATAGAAGTCTAGGATAGAATTAAAATGGCCAGCCCGCTGAGGTGATTCTTACTCATTAACAGCAGCAGCAGCAACCACAATAATCATAATGT